GTATCATCTGCATATCGGAGGTTGTTGATATTTCTTCTGGCAGTCTTAATTCCGGTTTGGGATTCCTCCAATCCGGTCTTTTGCATGATGTATTCTGCATATAAGTTAAATAAGTACAGCCTTGTCGTACTCCTTTCCCAATTTTGAACCAGTCAGTTGTTCCATATCCAGTTCTAACTTCTGCTTCCTGTTCCACGTATAGGTTTCTCAGAAGATAGATAAGGTTGTGCCTAAATCAGTGATTCCCAACCTGAGGTGTTCATGAACTGTAATTCCTAGAAGACTTCACCACCAGCTATACTGGCCTGGGTTTCTGGGTGTTGCAGTTGAAGAACACCCGCGTTACCCAAGGTTGGGAACTACTGGCCTAAATGGTAGATTTAAGATGCAGGATTATTTCAACCTTAGAAGAGTGAAGGTGTATCAGGTTACTTGCCCCTCAGGTGTAGACAGGAAAACAAAAATTAACAACAAAGGGGCAGAAATGAGCAAAGTGCCAAGCAACGCTTGATGAAATAATTTATAACACCCCTTTAGTTTTAGTGAAACACTTTGAAACATGCATTCTAGGGTTGCAAACCCATAGAAGCACTGGAGAGCTTGCATGTGCCCACTGTTGAGATGAGCCCTGGCACTTACTGTAAATCTGCTCTTGGAATCTTGAAAATTTAAAAGCCAGCTAATTTGTGGCATGTTGCATAGATCTGATGCTAATGGGGAAGGGTATTTACACTAAAAATATGTAAATATCCAAGCACCGTAGCACCATTATGCCATACATGGACATTTTTAAATTAACTTTATATCTCCTTAAAAATTTCCATGCATGCAAGGCAATGGAAAAGCAATGCAAAGTATTTGCAAAATGCTGAACAATGATTTAGTGACCTCCTCCCCTGCCTGAATTCAAAGGAAGACCTATAAATGTAAAGTCAACTGAACAGCTAATGAAAACACATTTCCAATCAAGGTTTGTCAATTTAGTTTTTGGAGGCAAAGGGTTCAGAATCAGTGGTTAGTTTGGAACCAGTGCAGTCCCGCAGATAGTTATGGAATGGTTGTCAGGCTGCTCAGGCTTAGCAGTGTATCAGAATAGATCTATGTGAGAAAATTAAAAGACAGTACTTTTTTATATATCACTCCAACCCTGGAGGCATTGAAGAGAACATTGGGCAACCATCTGTCAGAGCTGCTTTGAATTGGATCCCTGCCTTGAGCAGGGGGTTGAACCTGGTGGCCTTATAGGTCCCTTCCAACTCAATGATTCTATGAGTCTATCCTGGTTGGTATTTTATAAAGTAGGGCAGCTCCAATATGGAAGGGGCCACATATATCTGGCACAGTGCTGGTGGTGCACCATTGCGTCCATGGCCAGGTGACCAGGCCCATATCAGCATCAGATCACCATGGCAACTTCCACATCTGGAGTTCCACAGGCACAAACAGTCAAGAGGAGAGTGGGCAAGATGTCCCTGAACCACTGAAGTGACAAATAGAATCAATCTGCTTTTGATGTTGATGACTTTAAAGAATAATTCCATCACGATGGCTTCACCATATTTGGCAAACAAGCCCAAACAAAATGATAACAATCTATAAATAAAGTAGCAAAGATCTGAATAGAAACAGGAAGGTTCCTCAACATATCCATCAGCCACACGGTAGCTACCTTGCAGCCCCATTGTCAAAAGCAATGAGACCTTTTGTTGCACCAAACTAGAATTTATACAGAAACAATTTAAAACAAACAAACACATGCTTCTTTCATATTCAGCAGAATTGTGTCACAGGAGGATAACCTCTATTTATGTATACACACAAGAACAAAAAAAAAGGCATGTCATAAGAAAGGAAGAAAATAAGGATTGCTTGATCATTTCCCCCCATATCCTCTCAGACTAGCACACAATTTTCTGAAGGGGGGAAAATGGAAAAAAATAATAAAGCAACCAAGTGATGCTCACAGAAAGTCAACAGCAATGGCAAAGCACATGAAAGGAAGAAGCTAGAGGTCTCTGTACACTACACAGATACTTCCCCCCTCCTTTTGATTGGAGGTCCTTGTAGTCAAAAGAGTCTATATGTAGTCACTGGAAACTACATGTACTTTGAGAGTCTCAAATAACCAAGTCCTTCTGTTTATGCCGATTGACTAGATGACATCCTATTTTCCTTTTCTTTTTTTCTTTTTTTTGCTTTGTAATGTTGCATATTTAGCAGCCATTTGTTTGGGTCACCCACCCACCCCTCCCCACCAAACACAGGATGACTACATTAAAAAATAAGGACATGTTTTTTGCATTCTTAAAAAAATACACGTTTCTTTTCAAAGTCATTTAAAGTAACCATGGACTTTGTCCAATGCTTCTTATCACTTTTCAAACTGGCATTTACATGGTAGTTATGTTCAGTGGATTGTATTCTTAAAACTGGGGCAGCTGAATCTGCTTAATCAAAAAAATATCTGTATCATTATATGTTTGTGTTTTATTTTTACTTTTCAATATGGTTACCCTGTTTTTAAATACATCACCATCATTGCAGTGACTCCTTCCTCATTCTCTGGCCCCCACGGATTAGTGTTTCAACAGTTTTGGATGTGTATTTCCTAGTACAGTGGTGCCTCGCTTGACGAGGATAATCCGTTCCATTCAAATCGCTGTTAAGCGAAATCCTCATCAAGTGAAATGAAAAAGCCCATTGAAATGCACTGAAAACCGGTTCAATGCATTCCAATGGGTGAAATACCTCAGCGTCCAGTGAAGATCCTCCATAGGGCGGCCATTTTCTGGTGCCTGTAATGCGAGGAATCTGTCCTAAGCACAGCGGGGAGCCATTTTAAACAGTGGGTGGCCATTTTGAATCCCGACGATCAGCTATTTTCTGATCATCGTAAAGCAAAAAATCGGTTCCCGAAGCAGGGAACCGATCATCGTGAAGCGATTTTTCCCAAAAACTTCATCATTAAGCAATTTCCTCGTCTAACGAGGTAATAGTCAAGCGGGGCACCACTGTACTTGATCGAGAAAAATAACTTAACAGCCTTCACTAACAACAGCAGTTCAAATGTTAGGGCAGAGGTTCAAGGGGCCCTGTCCAAGTTCCATGCTCATCCTCACACTTACCTCCCCTACAATTAAATAGTGCATGCTTGGAAGAGATTCCCAGTGGATTGTATCACAATCTGGGAAAATTAGTGGAGAACCAGGAAGTTGGAAATTAAAAGAAGGCATGCTTCAAAAAAATTTCCACCTACTTAGCAGAGGGGGCTGGCAAAATGTGGAGGTGCCTTCTCCACCGCCAATCTCTTGCCAAATTATCACTATATCTATCACTTTTTTTTGGAAGATGGAATGTTTTATCTCAGCTCCTCCATATAAAGATTCCACATAATCTTTTCTCTTTCAAAAATAGGTTTGCACTTATTCAATTTACTCTCTATTGTCTTTTGCCTAATCAAATTAATTTGTGATTGTCAGCAAATGTATTAAGACAACAGAAAGCCAGTTAGTACAAAGCGATTGTTAACTTCATGCTTGCACAAAAGAACTGACAGGAGCCATTTTTATCTTTCTTCTCACACAGGAAAGGTAAAATAAAAACATTGATCATCTGTCAGTGGCATCTTTCAGTTGTCCAGAATATGCCAACTAAATGCAAAACAATGATGGTTGGTTCTGAACACTGGAAGATGACACAAGGAGAGAGGAGGGGACAAACTGGGGATTTCAGGAAGAAGGAAGACTGTAGTCCTAATACAAAAGAAATGAGACAATGTAGCAGAAAACCTAAGCAAAGTCTGGCTACAACATCCAGCAACCCACATCTTTCTTCATGATGTGAAATTCTGCTAAGCACTGTTGAGTACCAACTACTCAGTATTTTCCATTAGAAGCCTAAGTACATAAGATGTAAAATACCAGTGGAAGATAGTTTAAACAAACACAAAGATTAAAAACTGGTCCGGCCATATAGGTCAAATAAAGATTTTCTTTTTAAAAAACGAAAGAAACAAGGAAAAAACCCCTCTATCTTCTGAACTGTGGTAGGGTGTCATTTCATCTTTGGTATAAAATAGGCCATCCATAGGCTGCATTTGATCACAACTAGGAAAGACTACAGAAATTGTCAACAATTTCTTCTAGCTATTGCTTTTTTTGCACTTTTTTTTGACCATAAGCTCCTATCTACTTAAGTCCCCCCCCCCAAATGCTTTTAAGCTAGGTGTTTGCAATGTGACAAGCAAAGCAGACTAACAGTTTTTTAAAGCTCATAAAAAAGACTGCAGATAAAAAGCACTAATGCTTTTGCCAGCGATCACATTTTGTAAATTAAAAAAATCTCCATTCTGCCAAGAAAAAAACTGCATTCTTTAAAATGCAAGTTGATTCCTCCACCCCATTCAATAATTTTATTGTAAAACACTTTATCCTTCTAGATTCTTCTCTGTCAACACTAAGAAAGTTCATAAAAGTCTTCATTTTCCCCCAATTCTTGAAGTTGCCACAGTTCCTTAATCAACAGATTTTCTTCAAAAGAAGAAAAGCATCCTTTTCTGCTAAACTGTACAGTTTATAATTTTGTTGCTGTTGTTCGCCTTAAAAATTCAGTCTGTTGAACTTCAGGACCAGTTGATACTGGCGTAAGTTTGAATCCATTCTCCTTTCTTCTATCAAGACGTTGACAGCTTGCCTTGAGAGCCTTTGACGTCTTTAAAATTAAGGCAATTAAGATTCAAGATAAACCTTACCTAAACGTTTCTTTCTGGAAAAACAAAAGTAAAAAAAGAACTCTAAATGAAAAACACACTTGATTTCAATGAAAAGAGGGGGAAGAGTAGATGGGTTCTCGAGGAAGACCGTTAGTTTTCATTTCAGCTTGCTCCCTCTTGACATCATCATCAATCCTCTGTTGCTGCTTCAGGGAAACAAAAACAAATCTATCTACACTTCCAAATAAATTCTGAAATGCAATTGTTCATTCAGAAGAAATATCAACCCAGTGTTTCTCCATAGGCTTTTTTTCTGTAATTAAAAAAATAGCAAAAATAAAACTATCAGACTACATGACCGAACAATTTGCACAGCACATAGAAACACTGTTTTGTTTTTCTTGGGGTAAGGTAGACAATGAAGAAGGGGAACGAAATCTGTTGACGCCTGTGCAAACTGGAAGCCAACTTCTTGTTCAGTGAAGTTTCTCCATTCAAGGCAAACTTTTCAGACCGACTTTTTAAAGTCCCATTTATTGTCTGTGAAAACAATTGAATGAAAGCAATCATAAGTGAAACCTCAGAAACCACTTCTTGCCCTTTATTATTATTATTTTTTTAAAAAAACAACTTCCTTTAAAAATGCATCCAAGCTAAACCTAACTTCGCCTAGGGAGAACATGTTTTAAGCACATCACAGATCATAGGAATCCTATACTGAGTCACATAATTGGTCATCCCAGCTCAGGATTGTCATCCCCAACTGGAAGGGGTTTTCCAAATTTGCAGGCACACTTCTTTCCTAGTCCTATTTAGAGATCCTTGAGATTCCCTGGTGGTCTCCCATTCAAGTACTAACCTGATCTCACTCAGCTCCCCAAATCAGATGAGAATGGACATAGTCAGGGTGGTATGGTGGCATATGTGTGTATGTTGTTCAAATGACAAGCACATCACCAACTGAAGGTGGAAGAAGGAACTTAAAAAAAAGGTAAAAACACAGAAAACCACCACATACCTTTTTCAGACCTCTGGTCCACAAAACTCAATTGAGAATAATGGGGGAATGGAAAGAGTGCTCTCAGTGTAGACCATCCTGTAGACCAGTGATGGGAAGGCAGTCATCTGGTCTACAATATGGTCTGCACCATATTGTAGACCAACATGGTGCAGACCATATTTTTTGAAATGTATTTTTTCATTACAAACCTGAGGTCCATCAGCTAGATGCAGGTGCAAAACTGTATCAACTAAGGAACTATTGAACAGGACACCTCTGGCTACATAATCAGTCCACGAATTTCTCATCAGGATCAAGACCAAGCTCACAAGTCCTAAACTTCTTGCATATTCAACACAAATCACCCAGCAACCTATCAGTGGATTTGTTTGCACTGATCCATGTTGCTATATTGATAAGCACAACAATTTTTATGACACCTGCTTTTTTTAAAATTAGATGTTTCAAAAGCAGATGCATTCCAAATCAACGTGGTTTTTTAAAAAGGTAGTTTGAAGTACCAACACCAAGCTAAAAAAGGATAAATAATTCACTTTCCCTAATTTCTTTAGCTGGCCATTTTATTATATACGGTTTTGCCCAGCTGTAGAACTGCATACAGTGGTGCCTCACTTGACGAAGTTAATTCGTTCCAGCGAAATCACTGTAGAGAGAAATCGTCGTCAAGTGAAATAAAAAAACCCATTGAAACACATTGAAAACCGTTCAATGCATTCCAATGGGCAAAATACCTGCTCGTCCAGCGAAGATCCTCCATACGGGGGCCATTTTCTAGTGCCTGTAATGTGAGGTATCCGTCCCTAACACTAGGTTCACTGGGGAGCCATTTTCTACAGCCAGCGAAAAACTGGTTCCCGAAGCAAAAATTGGTTCCCGAAGCAAGGAACCGATCAACGTTAAGTGAAATTCCCCCATCTAAACATCGTTTTGTGATCGCAAAAGCAATCGCAAAAACTTCAACATTAAGCAGATTCGTTGTCTTATTGCTGACAGTATTCTGAAATTATTGGCATGATAAAGAGAGAATCTCAGCTCTTCCTCTGAAGCAAAATGCCCTTTTCTTATATGCGTAGATTAGTGGTTCATTTAAAAAAAAAACCTGAAGGTCTTTTTTGGGTGTTGGAATTAAATACGACTCTAGTTTTATTTTTTTATTTTTTAAAAAAGCAAAATCAGTTAGCAACAGTTCGAGAAACAGAAAGATATATATTTGCCCCTACATCAAAGAGATACAGATAGTTGTTTCATTTATTTCAGTCATTAGCCTTAGAACACAGCTACATCTGAGCTTCAATACCCGTAGAACAATCCTATTCACATCTACTCTAATGCAAGTCCTATTGAATTCAGTAGAGTTAAATTTCAAATAAGTGTGCATAGATTTGGAATCGGTGATTTTTAAACAGAAACGGTAGCCACCTCCCTCATAGTGCTTATGGAACTGGAAAATGATTTGCATCAGATGGGGGAATATCTCACCATATTACTTACACTGGACCCAGTGTGGTGTAGCTCAGGGGTCCCCAACCCCCAGTCTGCAGCCTGGTGCCGGTCCGTGGGCTTCCTGGAACTGGGCTGCGGATACGGATCTCTGCCCCCCATGCACAGTTGGTGTGTCGCGCTCATGGGGGTGCATGTCGCACTTGTGGAGGGGCGTGTAGCACTCGTGGAGGGCATGTTGTGCTTGCGTGCAAGCTCAACATGCCCCTCTGTGAGTGCAACACACCCCTCCACAAGCGTGACACGCACCCCCATGCGAGCGCAACATACCCCTCCAGAAGCACGACATGCCATGAGCTCGGGGGTGCCACTGCCCCCCTGGGCATGGAGCCCACACCCCCAACTAGTTCATGGTCCCCAAAAAGTTGGGGACCGCTGGTGTAGTGGATAGAATGACAGACTAGGATTCAGGAGGTCTGAGTTTGAATTTCAGCTCAGCCATGGGCACGCATTGGAGATGTGGAAGGGATAAAGACACTCCTTCAATATCTCACTTACCTTGAAAGCCCTAGTAGGTTCACTGTAAGTCAGTTTATTTATTTATTTATATATATATTTATATATATTGACAGGCCAAAAAGGACCATCAACTTACTTTGACTGTTGGTAGGAATATGCAGTTGCATGTTCACTGGATGTTTCCACCGCCATCTGTTGCTGTTGACCACTGGCTTCCTGTGATGGAGGTGCTACTGTCTGCGGAGAGGTATCAGCAACAACACCCTGAGGAAATGAAAAAAAAACCACACAAAATACCTTATTCCTTTTAATAATATTGGCAACTTACAGGCAAGAGAGAATCAGTACAGTCTTACTACCTACCTCATTATTTCTGTGCAACTTCATTGCTTTATATTGTCAAGAGTAAGGTATATCAGAAGCTACATGCTGATGTGATATAAACGTTTCATGTTTAAAAGAGAGGCATGCTATGAATATGGCTTTGTGCCAATGGCCTGCAGAAGGCTTTCCTCCTGTAATGCAGTGTTGAAATCAGTCAACTCAACTATTATATTTGGTCACGTATGCACGGCTAGCCAAATTTGGATCTCACAGCACGATTTAATAATAACTTGATACAGTTATTTCTTTCTTCAGTCAAGTGCAGTGAAATCAGAATCAAGCCTCATCTAACATGTGTGTTGGGACTGTGACGAACAAAGTGTAGTTATCTGTATCATGCTTTGAACAATGATATCTTGAATGATTGTTAAGAATATTTTAAAAATACAAAGATCAAACAACGCTATCTAATCTTTTGCTATGGTTTTTAAAAGTTACATATGGTACTTAAGACTTGCACCTATACACACATATATTTAAGTGTATGCTTTTGCTTCAACAAAATACTCCTTGAAAATATTTTGTTTTAATTTTTGCTTCTTTATGAATTCCCCTGTAACAGGTCATAAAAATATTGCTGTAACCCTTCATTATGAAGAATTTTAAAGCAATAGCACTCAGAACTCCAAGTCTGTTCTGGTTAGAGTCCTTATGCAACTAACCAGTAATAGATCCTACTGATTTTTTTTTAAATGCTGATGAGGGACCCAATTGCCTTCAAGAAGCACCCAGAATTTCAGCTTAGCAAGCTTTGAAAGATTTGTAGCACGTGTTCTTTTGTAAAAATAAATGAAGTGTCTTCAAAAGGGCTATTTTGGTCGATGTCAACAGCAAAACATGATACTGTAGAGAGTGAACAGTCATTGTACTGCAGAGATTTAAAAAGATGAATGAACAGTAGTGATCTATCCAAATGCACATGATGATCATTGACAAAAATCAATATTTGCAGGCAACAGTGTAAAAAACATGTGGAGCCTCAGTGGAGGTGCACCAAGACAGCATCTTAAAATAAAGAAAAAGCACCCTCAGCTATCCAACAAGTGGCAATTGAATCTATTCAAAAGGTGGCACAGTCCAAGACAAAGTTGCAGAGTCCATGCTGTGTCCATCACATATAACTGAGTGAAAAGTAGGCTAAGATGAAGCTGTGAGGAACCAAAAATAACTATGAACACCACCTTTCTTTTTCCTCTCAAGTGTCTCTCTTTTTTCCTGTTTCTTTATTTGTTCAGAAGGCCTCTGGGTAGCTCTCCAGGCAGCTTGTGGTCTACAGTGCGGAGGACATACTTACTCAATAGGCTGCCATCAGCAGGACTCAGCCCAAGGAGGGAGGGTGCAAATCCTTCATCGAGGATGAAAAAAGCACTTCAGTCAGTGCAGCATCCTCCAGGTCTGCATGTACAAGAGGAAGGTGTCTTTTTCTCAGTCAGGATTTCCGGCGGCTCTTGATTTTCAGCAGTCATTTATGGCATAAGCCTTGTGCAAAGGACAGCGTCAAATCCCACCCACCTCTTTTTTGGGCAGACATCTCTTCTTGAATCCCTTTGTATTTGCACCTTGATGGTCACCTTTTGCTCCTTTACTGCTCCCCCTTCTCTTCTCTTCCCTTCCCTTCCCTTTCCCCAACAACAAACCGCCCAGTGGAATATTCCTTTTTGTCTCTGATGAAAATTTAAACTGAAATGAAGTTTGCATAGATCTCTAAAGGAAATAATACTACTACTAAATGTAGGTCCCTTGCATAGGTGCAGCAGCTGTCATATACTACAAGAAGGAAAAAGCAAATGTATTTTAGGACTGTACTCCAAAACAAAGAAAGACATTTATTGAAACAGTCAACTTCAGCAAAGCGTTTCACACGTGACTAGGATTCTCAAGCTACTAAACAATACCAGTAAGGCAGTTGTGGAGTAAGGATTATTTATTCAATGGTAGCCTTGTAAGTAAAAAAGAAAGAAAAATGTTTTTGTAGTGATGTGAGAAATACATCCAATTCAACACAGCATCCCTATAATGGCCACTTTACATTATGGCATTGTCATGTGGTGAAATAGAACTGTATGTTCTGCTCAAAGCTTGGACTTTTTATTTATTTATTTATTTATTTATTTATTTATTTATTTTTTGATTTGATTTGATTTGATTTGATTTGATTTGATTTGATTTGATTTGATTTGATTTGATTTGATTTGATTTGATTTGATTTGATTTGATTTGATTTGATTTGATTTGATTTGATTTGATTTGATTTGATTTGATTTGATTTGATTTGATTTGATTTGATTTGATTTGATTTGATTTGATTTGATTTGATTTGATTTGATTTGATTTGATTTGATTTGATTTGATTTGATTTGATTTGATTTGATTTGATTTGATTTGATTTGATTTGATTTGATTTTTACACCGCCCCTCTAGACAACATCTACTCGGGACCGTTATTTTAGTTAATGCATTAAAGTTAAATATGTTACTTTTTTGACCAATGCCAGAAATTAGTCCTCAAAATTTAATGTTTAAATATAAAGATATTTGTACCAATTGCCTCCATAGAAAGGACTATGTCAGTCTACATTACCCCTTCCCTAAGAAAAAAGGTTGATCATTTCCAGTAAAAACTACATTTATGCTAGGTACTCACTACTACTACTACTAATAATAATAATAATAATAATAATAATAATAATAATAATAATAATAATAATAATAATAATAATAATAATAATAATAATAATAATAATAATAATAATAAAGGGAGTGATCCCAATTGTACTTCCCTGAAGAATTTAAATCAAAGAAGGTATTTTTGCTATCAAGGGTGGGGAACCTTTTTCAGCCTGAGGGCTGAACGTTTAACATTGCAGTGGCGGACAAGGGCAAAGACCAGAGAGTAGGATGAAAATTTTCAACATTGTTTAGTTTAAACCTCTTACTGCCAGTTCCTAGGCTTCAGGAGAGGTTGTCTAAAACCTGGAAATAACCTGAAAAACTGAGGGAAACCACTGGACAATGATATTATGGAGAAGGGGCATAGCCATATCGAAAACCATCAGGGATTGGTCACTATTCAGCCTTAGGGCCTAAGGTTCCCCACCACTACAGACACAAGATAATATAGGCACAGATAAGGTAGACTTACTTCAAGAGGGACAGCTGTTGGAGGCACAGGAGTGTACTGGGGAATGTAGGTCCCTTGCATAGGTGCAGCAGCTGTCATATACTACAAGAAGGAAAAAGCAAATGTATTTTAGGACTGTACTCCAAAATAAAGAAAGACATTTATTGAAACAGTCAACTTCAGCAAAGCGTTTCACACGTGACTAGGATTCTCAAGCTTCTAAACAGTACCAGTAAGGCAGTTGTGGAGTAAGGATTATTTATTCAATGGTAGCCTTGTAAGTAAAAAAGAAAGAAAAAATGCTTTTGTAGTGATGTGAGAAATACATCCAGTTCAACACAGCATCCCTATAATGGCCACTTTACATTATGGCATTGTCATGTGGTGAAATAGAACTGTATGTTTTGCTCAAAGCTTGGACTTTATTTATTTATTTATTTATTTATTTATTTATTTATATTTGATTTGATTTGATTTGATTTTTACACCGCCCCTCTAGACAACATCTACTCGGGACCGTTATTTTAGTTAATGCATTAAAGTTAAATATGTTACTTTTTTGACCAATGCCAGAAATTAGTCCTCAAAATTTAATGTTTAAATATAAAGATATTTGTACCAATTGCCTCCATAGAAAGGACTATGTCAGACTACATTACCCCTTTCCTAAGAAAAAAGGTTGATCATTTCCAGTAAAAAATACATTTATGCTAGGTACTCAAGGTAAAGGTAAAGGTAAAGGTTCCCCTTGACAATTTTTGTCCAGTCGTGTCCGACTCTAGGGGGCGGCGCTCATCCCGCTCTTCAAGCCATAGAGCCAGCGTTTGTCCGAAGACAATCTTTCCGTGGTCACATGGCCAGTGTGATTTAGACACGGAACGCTGTTTACCTTCCCACCGAGATGGTACCTATTTATCTACTCGCATTTGCATGCTTTCGAACCGCTAGGTTGGCGGGAGCTGGGACAAGCAACGGGCGCTCACTCCGTCGCGTGGATTCGATCTTACAACTACTTGGTCTTCTGACCCTGCAGCACAGGCTTCTGCAGTTTAGCCCACAGCGCCACCGTGTCTCAAACTAGAAAAAAGGTTGATCATTTCCAGTAAAAACTACATTTATGCTAGGTACTCAAACCTGGCCCTATAATGCACGTGTGTACTATAATACACAGAAATCTTACTAAACACATTGAATAATCTATAATATTTCTAAGCGGTTCTGGAGTTTATAGTCTAAGACCATTACAAATTCCTTATTTGTGAATTATTGTTCAATAAATAAATAATTGACTGCTCTCAGTAAAATTCTTTAGCAAAGCAATAAAAGAAGATTTGTTAGAGAGTATATGACTCATTATAGGGTAACTCTGACTACTGCTGATCTGTCTGATCCTTTGTATCTACAGATATTGTAGACTCCATTCCTCCTGTATCTAAATCAGGTCAGTATTATTGACCCACAAACAAAAATATTGTCTCCAGTTTCCCATTGATAATTTTTTTAGGTAATATCGTTAGAACAAAACTACAGCCAAGCAGCCTCTAACAAATTTACAGATAGATTTGGGCTGGACAATTTGACTAGGCCTTCTGAAGTAGGTCGGGCCTCTGTATACAGAGACCTTTTAGAGTGGGATTGTACAAATCATCCTGACTTCATCTTGCACAGAGGCTGCAGGAGTGTGGTTTTGCTCTAACATTATTTTTCAAGTGAGGGACATGGAAGGAGGCTCCTCAAAGGATGTGAGGACTGTGAACGCATTCCAGATCCCCTGGAACAATGGCACCATGCTGGCTAATCTTTCTACTCTGGAAGCATCACTGGATTGCTACTGACACAAATGAAGATTTTTTTTCAAACAATATCCATGAGAAACTGAATTCTTCTTCTTCTTCTTCTTCTTCTTCTTCTTCTTCTTCTTCTTCTTCTTCTTCTTCCTCTTCCTCTTCCTCTTCTTCTTCTTCTTCTTCAAAAGCACCAGGCACAGTCAATCAAGATTATAAAAACACTGACTGATATCATATAACAGATACAAGTTTTAACCAAAAATCTAAATAAATATTGGTACAGTATCTACGGTGTTCCTCATACTATCGTTTTTTGTAGCTCTGGTGGTGTTATTTCTGAGAACTGCAACTGCTTATAACACTGCATGAAATTTCTTGATATTGCTCCGAAAGCACCAGTGACTTCAGGTACCATTGAAGTGTATTTCATCCTCAAGCAATATGTTTCTGTTGCCAGGTCTCTGTACTTGGTTAGTTTTTCCAGTTCTTTATTTTCAACTCTGGTATCCCCCAGAATTGCAATGTCAATGATCCAGATATTTCTTCATTCTATTACTACTATGTCTGATGTGTAATTCATTCTATTACTACGATGTCTGGTGTGTAATGTGCAAGGTGTATGTCAGTTTGGATCCAGCAATCCCACAAGAACTTGACTTCCTCATTTTCCGACACCTTCTCTACCTGATGTTCCCAGGGTTTTTGGAGCTTGGCAAGTTATATATATACAGATAACATGTGACACAGTTTCATCTTTTTCTTGGCAGAGTTGACATTTGCTGTTAGCACCAATTCCTTGGATCTTAGGTTTCATCACTTTGGTTTGGAGTGCTCGTTCTTGTGCAGCAAAAATCAAGCCTTCAGTTTCTTTCTTAAGGATGCCCAGTTTTAGCCATGCCCACATTGAATTATGATCATGCTCTCCATCAATATTTCTTAGGTGTTGTCCATGTACTAGTTTATTTTTCCAACTGTTTAATTTATTTTCGAATTGTTGTTTCTTATATTGAGCCTTTCTCTTGTTTTCAAAATATTTTCCATTTTCACTGCCTTATGTAATTTTCTCTACATGTACTGATATAATCATTTAGGCTTCTTTTTTCCTCCTCTACTACCTGCTGTATTTGCAGTAATCCATGGCTTCCAATTTTTCGCAGCATATATAATCTGTCCACATCACTTTTTGGATGTAGTGTGTGATGCATGTTCATTCGTTACTGTGTTTTTCAGTCCAATCCTTCTAATTCATTTTGGGTCAAATTATTATTTCAACAAGATGTCTAATTACTGGAACTGCCCATGTGTTTATGGGTTTGACCGTATATCTACCATTTAATTTTGATTTTAAGGTTTTCTGCAGTCTTTTGATATAATTCCTTTCTGTCAGTTCTTTAACCTTTATGTGCAGAATGTTATCTGCTTCCAATATTCAAAGGTATTTATAATTTAAATCACCTGATAGTGATTTTATAATATTGCTCTTTTTTATCTTTATTCCACCTAGTTTGGGGATTTTGCCTCTGTGTATAGACAGAACTGCACTCTTGTATAGACAGTCAATTTCATTTGACTGTCTTCAGTAAATATTCACATTGTGTTTAGCAGTGATTCTATCTCCATCGAGTTTTTTGCATACAGTTTTAGGTCATCAACATATAACCCTAATAGCTGTAGGATCGGGGCCAGCCTGACCCAGGGATGACCTGGTGTTTGCAGGCTCAGGCCCTGGCCTGTGTAGCAGCTGCAGGGCCACTCATGAGGCTCACCTGGAAACCTGGAGGGAAGGCCTCTTTAAAGAGTGGTTCTCCCTCCCAGAACTTGCCTCTGCATAGTGTACTGGGTCCAGGTGCCCTTGCCCCTAGTGAGGGGCTGTTTGGGATATCTTGGGCAGTGATACTTCAGTTGTAGAATTTTGAATTAATTTGAATCCAAAATTTAATAGAATTTCAATTAAGTGATTAAATTGCACTACTGTATGTTGATGGACACTTGTTAAATGCTTGCACCAAAATCTGTGCAGCTCATCTGAACTAGGTACACTCCAAATTTTCACAGCCTTTACTTGCCTCTTAGTCATTTCAGTTGTTATTACAATATTATCCATATGTTTTCTTTGAGTTTCTTTACAAATGTCTTTAATCCATGAGGCATTTTTGTGTGCCCAAATGGGCTATCACAAATTTCTTTCCAAAATTTTAAGCATCATCTTTACATGGGCCTAATTTGTTTTACTCTGCATTTTCTCCTAGTGATGTGTAGAATCATCATTGGTTATTTTGAAATTGCATGTTTTTTCTATATTGTTTCAAGCATCCATCGCATCTTTCAATTTTTTTGCAGTAGCTATTAATTGTTATTTCAAATCTTCCATAGTTCCAATAATTGTTTTCTTTTCTTTGTCATATATTTTGTATAATCGGGCTTTTACTTTGTCATTTTTCAGTTTTGAATCTTTCAAGTGTTTTAAGTTGCTAATGTCTGCACATAATTTGTTTATTTTTCTTTCCAGCCAAATTATGCATTTTGGAGTGCCAGATGTTTTCTGCAGCTTGTAACTAGTTTGTTTATTTTTCTTTCCAGCCAAATTATTCATTTTGGAGTGCCAGACATTTTCTGCAGCTTGTAACCAGGTTCCATGGTTATCATGGTAGCTGTGATATGCATAAGCTGGTTTGTGTCCTTTAGCGCATTAGTTGGGATTGTTCTGATAACTACATTTACATCATTCAGTAGATATTTTACTGGGTTACTTTGTAATTGGTGCAAAGTCGGGAGTCTTTGTCTTTCTGTGTTCTGACTAATATGAGTTACTGGTTTTCCCCTCAGTGATGTCTGATGTTCCGTCAACTCATAAATTCTGGGTGGTTCTATAAGTTGTTCCTCTATTGATAGGTTTTCTTCCACTGTTGCATCTATTTCTACTCTCCATTTGTTTTCCATACTATGGTCATTGTTCTGTGCTGATCTCTTTTTTGTCACCTTTTCTAGTTCTTGCAATTCCAGTTCTGAAAACACTTTACTCTGGACGATAAACTTTCTCTGGTTCACTAATCATTGTTCAATTATGCCATTGTTTGGGGGTTTCCTTCTCCAAATTTCCATCAATCTTTTTTTGAAAACCATGCACTGGTGGTTTTGCCTCATAAAAACATTTCAAAATTTCTCAATTTTTGGCGTAAATCCACATTTTCTGTTTACATTGTTCCAGCAGCTTTGCAGCAGCCTATCCTGGTTCCTCAACAAAGCCGGCTGAGCCCAGTAGCCAGTTTGTCACCAGATGCCAAAGGGCTATAGCATCTGACACAGTCCTTGTTG